CGGCCCTGCTCTCAAGAAAATGCAGGCTTTGCTTGAAAAGTACGTGCATGATCTCTCTCTTTTACATTACATGCTTTTTTATATTGTTTCTTAAGCTGCGAGACTGGTACAGATTAGAGCGAGGTGTTTACAATCTATCAAAAATGAGGGAATCGGCAACCATGAGATACAAAGGATTTCAGATTCCAACGGATTGGATGCTCGAAACAGGAATAGTAAGTCAGGTAATTTACCCCTTTCCAACGGCTCTGGACAATTATTGGTCTGTAATTTCTGCCATGTTTGGAAATAGTACAATGACACGCAGACCCACAAATCCTACCTTTTGGTAATCTAGATATAGATTTCAGATGGTCTTGTATTTAATTATAGTCACTGGAGAGAACTTAACTTTAATGGTGACACATTCTGCTAGGCATTATAATACAATTTGTAGCTGGAGTAGATGACAAAAGAAAAGTTAGATTTTGCCTTATTTTCTCTGCCACGCCTGCAAGCGTGCATGTGAATTTCCAGATTTCTAAAATGTATTTGCTTGTCTGCTTTTAAAATTTGGATTCATTTGTAGAGATTCTCCAAGGTGACCCCATTAACCAGCACATGGTTTCTTTTTTGCGAGTATAGTAGCTCGAAGGATTTTAAAGTCCTACCAACCCAACTGACCCATAAATAATATGTTCTACTCCCAAAAAGAAGAGGAAAAAAGTGAAGTTGCAGCAAGTGAACTAACTGCTAGACTTGATTCAAATTATATGAGATCTTTTATTTATTATTCTTCAGTAGTTGTCATGCAGATTGATGACTGTCTCGTTGACAGTTAATCCAATTGTTAAAGTGGCATTAAGGTTGATGACTTGTTTTGTTTTATGCTTTGAATCTTCATTAATAGCTCCAATTTATTGCGTTCTGAAATTATTTTGTTAGCTATCTAGCTAAATTAGTCTACTGGCACATTGTTGCGCAGATCAAGTTGGCATCTGTGAAATTAGCAATGAAGTACATGAAGAGAGTATCTGCAGAGCTTGAAACTGGTGGTGGTGGGGGGCCTGAAGAAGAGGAGCTGATAGTCCAGGGAGTCCGATATGCTTTCCGGGTACATCAGGTGAAGACCCATTTACTAGTTTTTTTTTTTTACCTTTGAACAAACTATATATACTTGGTTGCAGCGCGCTAATGCCTCCATTATCTTGTGCCAGTTTGCTGGAGGTTTCGATGCGGAAACAATGAGGGCTTTCCAAGAGTTGAGAGATAAAGCCAGATCATGTCATGTACAATGTCAAAACCAGCAGCAACAAAAACTTGCATGCAGGTCGTCGACACCTTGCTAATCTGTAGCAAACTCAGCTTCAGAATTGCTGCCTGCCTTTTGCTGTAAAGATGTATAACACCATGGTTCTCAGTACCATGACCGTCGCGATCTTGGAATCAAATATTTTTTAATGATTCATTACTCCAATCTATTATTTTATTCGTGCCCTTGACTGCAATCTTTAAAGGCGATCTTCGAATAAAAAAGGAAGCTTGAAAATCTCAAATGCGGCCACGCTTTTATGGGGTGCGGTGCTACCTGTAACACAGCACTCTAACCTCCCATAGCAACGATAACACAACGCCGTCCTTGAAAACAAACGAACAAAGCATAAAGCATAAACAAACCTTAGACTTCGTTTGGTGGTTTGATTGCAGGAAAATTATTTATTTGTTTGTTTGTTTATAGGAAAATAATTTTTTAAAAAAAATAAATTTAAAAAAAAATAATTTTTTTAAAAATAATTTTTAGAAAAATAAAATATTTTGAATTCTAAAAAAGTAAATTTAAGAAAAAATAAATTTTTCAAAAAGTATAATATTTTTTGATATTTAATAGTGTTATGTAAAATAAACAGTAAAATATTTTTTAATATTTGGTTATGTTATGAAAAATTAACTAGAAAATAATTTATTAATATTTTATTTTTTTCAACTTTATTAAAATAATATGTAATAAATATTACAAATTAAAAAATTAAATAATAATGAAATTTTCTTTAACTAAAAAGTATTTTCTGTTTACCAACTTTTCTAACAGCAAATAAACACAAAAAAGTTTGGAAATTGATTTTTCAGAAATCATTTTCTGAAAAACAAACACAAGAAAGTTTGGAAAGTGTTTTTTCGGAAACCACTTTCCAGAAAACAAACATAGCTAAAAAGAAAAACACTTTCCTGAAAATCAAGCCAAATTTTTTTTGACTAAAAAATATTTTCGTTGGCCAGAAAGTATTTTTTTGTTGACCAGAAAGTATTTTTCATTGACTGGAAAATGTTTTTTGTTAACCGGAAAATATTTTCTGTTGACCACCTTTTAATGATAAATAAATACAAAAAAGTTTGAAAAATAATTTTTTAAAAACTGTTAATAAGTTTGTAATAAAGTTACAATGCAGGTGATTTTAGACAAAATAGAATAAATAAGAGATGTAAGAGAATTTTAAAGGTTATTATGACAATGACAGAGGCGTCATACCTAAGACTGTCATGTTTAGAATTTTAAATAGATTTTCATATTAAAATATATATATATATATATATTAATAATATTTTTTTATTTTTTAAAAAATATTTTTGATATTAGTATATCAAGATAATTTAAAAATATTAAAAAATATAAAAAATTATTTTTTTAAAAAAATATTTTTAAAATATAAAAACAAAAGGAGTTTAAAATACAAGGAATATGTTGATAAGTATAATAAACTCATATATGATGTACTTAATTCTTGTATGATTTTTAAATACCCTTAGTTTAATTCTATAATAATTTATCTTCAATATCTCTATTAATATATAATTTTATTTATTTATTTTTGTTGATATGCAAGGATAAATCAATTCATGGAATTATGGAAAGTGAAAGTTCATTCATCCTTGAATTCTAGCAAACATTATTTTTAATTAGATTGAGGCTCATGATATTAAAAAATATAATTTATAAGCTAATTAAATAAGAAAATCTACCTTGAAGAGGTTTGGTTCACTTGTTTACAAATTCTGAAAAGAAAAGAAAAGAATGACATAAGTAAGAATTTCTATTGCAAGAATAATAAGAAAATTTCTTTATCATAAATTTTAGAAGTATATCTTAGTAAATTATTCTTTATAAATATCCACATTAAGCGATCTTGATGTCAAGTAAAATCTAATAAGGATAACCATAAATATGAGTTTTTTAAAATAAATCGATCTGATGAAGAAAACAAAGTTAAAAGTTTGTCAGTTTTGGATAGAAAACCAAGAAAAAAAAAAGATTTTGTACAAAAAAAAAATAAAGGACATCAAGGAAGAAAATAACTAAAAAAGATGTGTGCAGTGAAATGCTTCATCCATTGATTTCAAACAAAAAAGTTTTATTCTTCTCCTTAATTCTCCTTTGATGCGTTTCAATAAAAACATGACTTATTTTATATTTATTAAAAACTAAATTTTATTTTTTTGGTGTTTTGATGTAGTCTAATCTTCATCACACAATTTAAATTTTTAAATTATTTTATTTTTAATTTTTTAATTTCAAGTGTTTATCTTTATCTTATTATTTATAATTTTCTGATCAATTATTATTTTATCTATTGAAAGATAATGAGACCAATAAGTATCATATGATTATAAGCTTTCATAATTAAACAACATTAGTTCAAAAAAATAAAGATATTTTGTTGCAATCAATGTGATTTTGTATTAAAAAATCTAAGAAACTTAATGAATCTTTAAATAATTTGATTTAAATTGAGATATATTAAATTGTTAGGTGGAGATAATTTTAATTCAGTTGGAAAGAAAGTATTGAGTAATTAAGGAATTTTTTCTTTTCATTAAAGAGAAGATTTAAAATTTTATAATGAGAGATAATAAATTATGTGAGATTAACTTTCGTGAAATAAAAAGTTCTAGATTATTTTTATTATCTCTATAATTTTAAGTTTTATTCTATGTTCTTTTAATTTACTTTCATCAAATACTTTAGATAATGAATTCTATAAATATTTAGGTTATATATATATAAAATTAAAGTTATCGACATAACAAACAAAAATCTAAAGCTTTTGATTTGACCTAACTCATGTCACGTAATTTATTATTTTTTTATTATAAAATTTCAAATCTTCGCATGGAAGAAAAGAAAACATTCCTTAATTATTCAATATTTTCTCTTGAATAACATTAAAAATATCTCTATCTAATAATTCATCATGTTTCTATGTAAATTAAATTATTTAAAGATTCATTAAATTCTTTAGATTTTTTTTAATTTAAAATCACACTAATCATGGTAAAGTATTTTTATCATTCACTCATTTAATAATGTTTAATCCTAAAAGTTTATAATAAAAAATTACCTTAAGATTTTATTATGATTCAATATATCAAACAATAATAGGCTAAAAAAAATATAAATAATAAGACAAGGATAAACATTCAACATGAAAAAACTTAGAATTTAAATCATATAATGACATCATTATTTATAAATTGAATTGACAACATGCACTTAAACACAAATTGAAAGAAAAAAAGAAGAAGAAGAACACCAAATAAATAATTTTCTCTTTACTTTTTGACGTGGGAGACGCAAAGTGAGCAAATAATAATGTTTGTATACTTAGGAGAGTAATTCTAGATTTATCAAAGCTTTTTTCTCCCACAAATTATGAACATTAATTTTTGACATAACTTGGAAAATACTCTAGAACTATAGTCTCAATTCTATCATCTAAGAGTTCTTTTACATAAATTTTGTATTTTTATAAATTCTTGATTAGGTCTTTCAATTCAAATTTGATCATACATTTCACCCAAATTATGCCTCTTTTTATTGCTAAAAACAATGTCATTTTATAGGGAATCTTGCTCTTTATTTAAGAAATTCCAATAAAAATATAAAATTTACAAATCAAAATTTTTTGTTCTGTAAATATTCACCCAGACCGAATGGTTGGGGGACATTCTTGAAGTTTTCCCTCTTTTATATGCCCCAAGTCCCAGAACGAAATTTACGATGTTGTTTTGGGAACCGACATGACTGCATCTGTCCTGAAGTTCCCTCTTCTATTTGCCTTCACTGAGTTTAGGCCTCTTGATCGCCACATCCCAAAGAATCACCCATCAAATTCAGTAAAACCATCTATCTCTCTTAAAACCCCTCGATTTCCACGCCAATTGAAAGCCAGAACTACTCCCATGGAAGCCGAACAAAGTGGAACTGCAATCAACCCCAGCTCAAATGCATCCATGAAGCTCTTGTTTGTGGAGATGGGTGTTGGCTATGATCAACATGGGTGTGTAAAAACTCTGACCCTTTTTAGCTCTTTTTATTCCCGAGCGTACTTTTTTTGGGCATATTTGATAGATATCCTTCGAAGATTTCTGTCTTTTGGTCTATTCAATTGTTAGAATTATGTGAACATAAGTCTGATTCCTTGTTTGTGCAATACAGGCAAGATATTACTGCTGCGGCAATGCGTGCATGCAGGGATGCCATCTCCTCAAATTCAATTCCTGCATTTCGTAGAGGTATATGAGTTATCACTTGTATGTTCTTGAAGTTTCTTTCTTTTGTTTTGTTTTCTTGTTATAATTTATTCATCTATGCGTATTTGCGTGTGACTGTTACTCTTGCGGCTTGAGATGCGATGATTTGATATCCAGTTTTAGTTGAGAAGTGAGGATTTGTTGTGGATTCACATAATAGAATGATGAGATTGCAAACGATACCATCTCTCGTGTGTTTTTTTTAGAATGGCCTTCCGTAGTTTCACAGACTACTGGATTTCCACCATTGAATTCCAAAAGGTCTAAGAAAGAAAGATTGATTGGAATAGAATGGAATAATCAAGTAGAGAAAGCTTTAAGAAGTTTCAGATTGTGATAAATTTTCTGGGAAGATGATTACATCAACAGCATCCATTTGTTGAATATGATTTCAATTGTTTCTGTGGAAAGTGTTGCTGCTCTGCATCTTTCCTTTGTTGAGAATTTCCAAGCATAAGAATAAAGCACTCAGTGGTCTGGTTTTTTATGGATGTCATATACCGGTAAAGTCAGAACTCGTACGCTTTAAATTATCATTTAGATTGAATCTCAAAATTATCTACTGGTTCGCAACATACCATCAATTGCTACAAGCACAGCTTCATGCATTGTGCATGATATCGTTTGCTGAATTTTTGTTGCATACACACCAGACGTTCGTGGAAGACTATAATTCTATTTGCCTAGTGAGGTTTCTTCATGGGCTTTTCTGAAAATATTTCCTGTCTTTTCCTCAATGCCAAGTGAGGAGGTTTCTCTTTATTAATCTCCAGATTGGTATGAGATGGCTTTGTGCCTTTGTTGTGAGAATTGTTGCATATGCTATAATAAGATCAAATGGTGCAGGGTCCATACCTGGGGTCACATTTGGCCAAATGAAACTACAGATCAAACTGGGGGTCCCACATTCCCTGCAACAATCATTGGATATCGAGAGGGTGAAGTCTGTCTTCCCTTAGTAAGTACAAAGTACCAAACACCTATACATTTTGGAAATTTCATCTAATGTTATTTCTTCTTAGATGCTTGCTTTGTCCACTCTCCTATTTCTTGAGAAAAAGTGTTCTGTTTTCCCTTTCTTTGTTTTTGTTCTCCTTTTGTGCTCGAACAAAGGTTGAGAGGATGTCTATATAACATCAATGCACAGCTTGCAGAGGTTGTAACTGGGGAGTTCTAACTAAGTACAAGTCCACTAAATCACATAAAGTTCTTATTGCAATTTCACAGGTAGCTTTAAGACATTAGCCAGCTTTAGTTGGATCCCATGACTGGTCATGTAACTCATTTTCAAAATGTCACTCTAATCAAACATTTATTGAGTTTGCAAGTGTTAATGGTTAGTTAACTACCAACAAGAAGACAGAATTATATAGCAAGTTCTTGTCTGGCATGTTTTAGGGTATAATTATACTTATGCCAGCACACTGTATAGATTTGATGGAATTTAATATTTGAGAAGGTACTGTTCTCAAGTTAATTGGTTCTTTTTATAAGTAGTTCAGTCTCTTTCTGTCGGCAAAAGACCTACTCTAAAATGTTTGCTTGCGGATCCTGTCTAACATCAAAGATATCTTCTTTGTTCACTATCAACTTTCTATTAATGACCACTAATACATAATCTAAAGTTCGCAGTGGATTAAAAATTTAAGGATATGCCTGAAATTTAAGCATTCCTTGTGATGTTTTCTTGTAAACTATTGCAATTTTGTTATAAATTATAATGCAAAAGGCTAAAATCTCTTACATTGTTCTTGATTTCAATTATAAGGTGATATGTGTACTCACATGGCCTTCAGGAATATCTGGTGTTATTTCCTCAAACTTTGGGGTGCACAATATAACTGCCTAAACAACCAGCCTATTAAACATACCCATCATCTCTTTCTTAAATACATGTTTTTAAGAAACATTGCAGTGGGAAAATAGTGAAATTTGAAGTTGTTGATGGTGGAATGATATGCTCAAGTGGTGTGTACGTTGAAGAAATGGGAGACAAGAATGATGACTGTTACATTGTGAATGCTGCAGTATATGTTGGCTACTAGCTTTTGTTACCTCTGTAAGTGCTTTCCAAGGTTAGCTTTTGCTTCAATCATCTACTCATGATAAATTATGGTTGTACGCACACACTGAAAGATTTACATGGTGGATTTCTGTCTTTGATCTAATTTATCTGAGGTTTCTACTATAACAAATAGCCATTCCATGTTAAGTATTTCCATGATTCTTTCTGCATGTTCTTATATGCCGCAAGTTGGTGTTACTTTGTGTTTCTTTGTTCTTGATTTGATTATCTCAACATGAGTATTAATAGGATGTTGTATCATGGTCAATATTTGTGAACATATACTTTTTGGCTCAGTTGCTATTTTGGTGAAGTGCTAGGGATAGGGTTTAATTGGGTATGCCTTTGTTTTTATGTAAAGATGTGCTGTTTGCCATTTGTGTGACTGTAAATACTGTACGGGCAAGTCTGTTTCATGTATTTGACATGTCATACATGTGTGATGTAACAAATTTCATGCTTTTAGATAAGTTTACACTCAGATGAGATCTGAAAACCGAACTCGGGTTTCTCAGGTCAATGTTGTAAATGATGAAGGACCCTTGAGGGAGATGGTGGCTGATGCTGCTTCTCCACATGTTTGTGGAAACTGCTGTGTCGTATTTTTGGCAGAAATGAGAGAAGTTTCACGGTTTGCATCAGATGCTGTCTCAGCTCTTGCTTCTTTATGGGTGAATGACCTTTTTGATCTACCCATTGCTTTAATTTTGTTGCCAAAAAAACAAAAAAAAAAACCAGTAACAAAAAATGTATTGCCTTAAAAACTTGTTGTGGTACAATAACTGTCACTGCAACCATGTTTGATGTCATCATATATTCAGCCTTTTGTCTTTGGCTTCTTCCTGTCTTTAAAGATATCAATGACCTTAGGCTGTAGCTCAGACTATGATGACATTGCTTAAGAACATTATAGAGCACTGACAGCCCAAAACCAAAAGTATGAACACTTGAATGACTCTAACCAGGATTACTATCCATCATATGCAGTGGAAGGCTTTGGGATTTCTTTTATCTCTACTTCCTCTATCCTAGCGTTATTTATTCATGTCTCGGAGCCATAGTGCTCATACATTTGAAGTTAGGAACATCTTGCTTTGATAGTTGTTGCAAATGAAAGAAGAATGTGAGAAACATTGCAACATTTGATTTGGGCTGTTCATGGAATCGGTGTGTAAAATCTAATTAAACAACAGCAAACAAATCAATGATATTTGAACAAACTTAAAGTTTGGCCCCCAGTGGATTTCTACTTCCCTCACACAATCATCAGATGCCATTTGCATCTCACTGTCACCTATCCTTGTAATAATTTTAGGACAATTATTGTGATTAAGAGAACCAATCACTTTACATTTGACTTTTGCTCATCATTATCACCCTATCAACTAGTAAATGAGAAATTTCTGCTCCCCCCATAAATACACAACTTCAGGAAAAAGGAAAGAAAAAGGAGAGAATAAAACTAAACTAAGATTTGGATGTTGACCTTCACATGATGAGAGCTGCATATAGGAGTTGGTTCCAAGTATCAGGCAATCCAGGTAGGCACCAATGGCTGCAGTCTGTGCCGGACCCGTGACTATAAGTTGAGGGATGAGCATCTTTTCTTAACTGTGATAGTGTTGTTATGTCAAGTAGATAAACTGGTTTCTTCATTGATCTCAACACCTTGTTTACAACCGCAGCTGCTGGAGGTGCACCAGCGGGGTATGTAGACCCTGATAGGGGCACTGCTTCTCCAGAACAACTCTTTTTTGGTTGATTCCAGTCCTTGCCCCTATTTTTATAGAAAATTTTGAAATAAAATGAGTCGTGTTTGTTGCATTATATGCTGTATAGCATTCTCAAATAACAAAATATCATTTAATGCATGTTTTTCCACTTACTGATAATGCGTTGGTGAAATCCCTTGGAAGAAGACTTTAGTTTTAGAAGGATCAATATTTTGGTCAACCCATCTGCCCCATGTGGTTAATCCTTTACTGAATGCAGTCAATCTGTCCATATTTTTGTACAATGCTGATCCATCCCGGATGTAGTCCCATCTGCATTTGCACAGCCAATAATTGCAGCAATAGAGCCAGAGTTCCAGATAAATGTGGAAACACCCACACAAACGCAAAAAAAGAAAAAAAAAAGAAGAAGAAATCACTACTGCACAAGTGCTGGCAGGACATGCGAAAGGAGGGAAGAAATACCCCTGAGAACGTCCGGTGTGAACCCACCAGTGCCAGGAATTGAAGATGAGCATGTCCATCCCTTTCCATGCATTGCCAGCCCCAATGGAGTTTAGGTTTAACACGTTGCCAACATTTTCTCGAACAATGTCCACCAAGTATGGTGTGCGATACATGTACAAAGTTACACCGTAGCCCTGCAACACAGTAATTGTTAGCTACTCGAAATAGATTCTGTAAATACTACATGTTTGCGGCATCTTTTCATCACTTCTTTACTAAATTGTTACCAACCGGGGTGATGATTCATGATAAATGGTAGTTTATAGTAATTCAACAATGGCAAGTACAGCATAAAACGCTGAGCACCACACGACTGCTATTTAGAATATCAGCTGGTACAGAAATTGATATTACCACGAACTACCTCAGCATTGCTCTCTTTAAAAGAAAAAATAAAAATGGTGCAATGATGTTTCTCAGTAGCATTGGTTCAGGCAACAGAATTTGAAGCTCCTCATAGAATATTATAGTACGGTTCACGAGTTGAACAGCAGACAGAAAATATTCTAAGTGAAGAACACTATCAGTTTTTGGGCAATCAATCATTCACGAGCGTCACAGTAGCCTTTCATCTGCTCTAAAGCATGAACAACGGACTGCTGTGCAAGCAAGCTTTCACGTGAAGAATTAATGCGAGTTCTAGTTTTCATAAATAATTGATTAGATTAGCACAACATAATAATTAACCGAATTATTACTAATATTACAAAAATAATATTGCAATCTAATTTGAAAATAAAAGCAAAATTGAATGGTTTTTAATGGAAGAATATTTTAAATATATTTTAAGTTGGTTTATTTACAATGAATCTTAATTAAAATTTTAATTTTAATTTTTTCAAAAAAAAGTTCCATATAGCCTACTTGGGTCAGCTTGCATGGCTGAATACAAACAAGTATAGACACTGGTCAGTCTACATGATTCGATCTACAATATTGGTAAAGATTTTGATCATCGAGGTGACTTGAATGTCACGGTCTCTTAGATCTTATATCCTAAAAGCTATTTTTAATTTTTTTAAAAAAAACTAGAAAACACCCTAAAAACCCACCCCCACCCACCTCCGCTGTCCTGTGTCTTGCATAACCTCCTCCTCCTCACTCTTTGTCTAGCTACAAAAGCCAACCAAGATCCAGCTGCACTTTAGAGGTACTGTTAAGTGTTGTCTCTTAATCACCCTACCATCTCATTGGGATAGCCACTAGATTTGTGCATGCTGTAGCCATATCCAATAATTAATGTGATTAATTTAGTCATCGTACTCATAAACACGATACACAGCCGTTCGTATTCTCTAATAATAAAAGCACAGGTTGGCAGCTTCTTCTCAACAGCTGTAGAGGTAGAGGGATGGGGTCACTCATTTACTGTAGCTTGGCCCTAGATGGCAACTAATTATACCCTAATACAAAAGTTCTTCATCATAGTGATATTTTCCGGGCCGTGGATTCTCTCTCTCTCTCTCTCTCTCTAGATAAAGAGTCACGGAATTTAGAAAGCTACATGCCTGTTTTGTCTCCTCTGTTAATCTAAAGAGACAAGCATATTGGAGAACAAAACGGGGCTATCAGAGTATAGCTTTCAATAGTTTGGACCAGAAAGCCTAGAAGGACTCCATGTGAATCATTCTGGGGGTATTTTATCATTCTTTCATAAAAGTTTCTGCTAAATAAGGCTATGAAAGTAGCATATTTCTAACACAACTTCAACTAAAATAACCCGCTACTGGTTGTGCATGACCGCAGTTATTAAAAATAATAATTATTTTTTATTCAAATTAATTAATATATATAAAAATCAATCTAATATTTAATGAAAACTTAATAATCTAGAAATGAGATTTTAGATCTAATGGATAAAAAAAACAAAGAAAATGAGATCATATGACATGAGAGAGAAATGAGAAAAAAAAATATAAAAAATAATTAACCAACACAACAAAATTTTATTTTTGATATACTAGGTTAGAAAAATCTTAAAAAAACTATAATAACATTGTAGAAAAATATCAAACAAGTTCATAATTAGCCCATTACAACTTTATTTAATAATTTTTTAAAATATTATTAGAATCATCTCAATTAAATCTTTCTAACAATATTGAATGCTTAAAAAATAGAGCCTTAATGTTACATACTCATTATTTCTTTTTGGCTTTTTTTTTTTCTTTCCTTTCATTATCTCTCTTGCCATGTCATCTTATCTTCTATGTTTTCTTTTTTTTTTGGCTTGGCCTTGGAGTCTTTAGTTGACTTCTATATAGGTTAATTAACTTACAAAAGTACATACATTTTGAAACTTGGCTACACAGCCGCCTGAGTTCTCATTCTTGGCCCAGCAGCCTCACCATTGAACAAGAAACATGCTTTGCTGGAAATAAAATTTGTTTAGTTTGGAATCCAAACCTGTGATATTCACCGCATGTCACGAGCTGAGAATTGATTTCCTTGCACATGATTCACTTACCATTCTTTGATCACTTCTTCAATGATTTATGGTTGCATATTCACTTTGCTACCATTTTTTTATAGTGAGAAGAATAAAAGCCATGGGAACTCGAAGAGGAGGAGAACAGAACAGACAGAGACAGGCTGATGAATTCCATGACTCGTTTTATTCCCTTTACTTTATTTAATTAATATGGCTAGCAAAGAAGGCTAGGAAAACCAGAAAATTATGTGCTTTCTCCTTGCAGCAAGTACAGTTTAATTATGTGCCCGACACAAGACCCCATTTTGAATGGTAGTTACGAAGCCTAAATTGCCTTTAATTATACTAAACGAATCTAAAGCAGCATAAACAACAGCTATAACCTAAAAAAAAGCTGCTCATAATACTGTATAGATGTATGATTTCAAGGCAAACAAGACGAAAACTGCAATTTGGAACAAAGAATAAAATATAAAATAACATGAAAATGGACAAACAAGCGATAGAGACAAGGAGATGCACACACAAAGTGAGTTGAAATGAAAAGGTGAGAAATGGTGAAGTAGCAAGTAAACTCACATCAAAGGTCACAGACGACAGTGAGTCTCTCCTGTAAAAGGTTGTCTTGGCCTTGGGCACCGCAGCATGAATCATGCATGACAATGATTCCCACATGTTCAGACTCAGTGAGTCGCCCACAAACATTATCTTCTTCCCTCTCCACCTCCTCAAAAAATCTGCGCCATTAAACCTACACCAGAAGGAAGAAGAAAGCATCAGTATATTGCCTTGCAAGAGAGATTCGATGAAAGAAACGAGTGAAGTGAATGATTCTAGTACCTTGGTATCTTACAAGAATCAGGTTGCCAAGAGTATTTGAGATACTGGTTATCACGCCTGCCATATTTTTGGCAATTAAACTGATCATCAATGAACGGACAGCTAGAGGAATCATAGAGAGGATAAGAAGTATCAACCACCCATCTCCCTTGAAACAAATTACAGCCACTCACTTTCTTCCTCCCGTTCAACCTGCTAGCGTTGGAGGAGTGTATTCCAGCTCTTGTTTCTTGCAAAAACAAAAGCATCACTAGACAGAAAGTACAGACCAAAACCTGACACTTAAAACCCATTATGGATTTTGAGTACCAGGGGACTTGGGATCCAC